AAATCAAGCCTGACTCAGCATAATTGCTGTTTTACAGCAGGTTCCTGTTCTGCAGCACATAAAACACTCAGAAATACAGCACCACAATCATATCATTATACACCATAGACACAAAGACAAACAAGTATGTTTTTGACAGATATTATAAGTTTTTTTTTCTTTCTGCTGCCTTTCATTTTATATATTTTTCTTCTATTGTGCACAGAGTTTTTTAATGAAATAAATACATTTTTAAAACAAAAAACAATAGTTTACCTTAAAGATGCAACAATTTGTTGCTATTAAAATAAATTAATTGTTCTCTATATATTAAACATATACTAGAAAGCTCACTTGTGGCCATCTCCATACGAATTAAATTTGTGTTTATTTTTTTGGGTTTGTGACATCATCTTTAGCCATTCACAAAGCATCTGATCAGAGCTGCACTGCTGCAGACAGGTTCCTGCAGGACAGTTCTCTGAAGCAGCTCTGAGGACCATGGAGGCTCACCCAATGCTGAATAGGACCAATAAGTCTGATGTAGTTCAGGAGCTGCAGTGGTGGCTCTGTACCAGCTGCTCTTCATGGAGAAYWATCTGCAGGACACCTTCAGAGACTCTGACTCTGCTGAAGGTTCTCATCACATCTCCTCTGACCACAGCTGAATCTGAGAGGAGCTTCTCAACACTGAAGACAATCCAGACTTTCCTCAGGTACAACATCACATCTCACTGCACCGACCATGCTCTCCATAGAGAAGAATCTTATTAAAACATCCCTGACTTTAACCAGAGTCATAAAGAAATTTGCTTCCCGGTAACAGAAGAGCAAAATTTATGTACTAAAAAAAACTACGACTGTTTTATTATTTGGATTTGTTTAATAAATACACTGGCATGAAACAACTTAGTACAAGTTTGATTGCTTTTTGAGATACGTCTAATTGGAGTTGTAGCCCCCACTGGAGAAAAATCCACCAGCCGTCACTGCTTGTATTTGTACTTACACTGGGGGGGTGACCACTGATACCACATTTATGCTTAGTGATGTCTTTTCCTCTATGTAAGTAACTGAGGGGAAAAATATATAAAAATGTCCGTATTTGGAGGTGTARAAAACAAAATGCAGGTGATGGTAGCCGACCGTTTGCATGGTTTTTAATCAAGGATATGTGCTTTTAAAGTCATCGTGTAATTTTTAAGTACTAACTTAGTCCCCTGTTTCTTATCAAAACAAACTTGACTGACGCACGTTGTTTTGTCCCATACCACGCCATATTATGGTGCAAACAGTCTTAATTTTGGCCCTCATACCGCGCCATACTTGATTAGAAGCAGTAAACTGTGTAAAAAGAAGAGCTTCTATTTGCTGCTGGCATGCTTCAAAACAAAGATGTTTTCTTCTCCAAAGAGCAAATGGATCAGTTTAATCAATAGAGTGTTCCCTTTCTTGATATACTCACATATGGATGATTTTCTTCAGGTTGTAAAACGAGTGTCTCTCCAGTCTCTGCAGCTTCACATCCACAGACATYGATCTAATAAAGATTTAGAAATAAATCAAATTTATACATTTTAAAATGAACACCATATCAGTCCTAACATCTAATTTATTAGATAAAATGCTCAACATGTCGTATTTACATTAAGCCTCTCAAAAAAACGAATCACCAACTTTCTGTAATGTTTGTTTCAGCTAAAACCCCACAACGAACGAGCAGAATCAACAGCTACATGAAGCTCACACAAACCTACTTATCCAAGTTAACTTCTCCTCATGCATGATTAGAACATGGAAAAAGCCGACGAGGATCAAAACTCAAAAGTGTTTTTTTTTTATTTTATTTTAACAGAGAGACTCCACCTTTAACCAGACTCTGCTGTGGTTGAAGCACCACAACATTCCTACTGAAGGAACATTTTGCTTGTCCAGCTGTGATTAGAAACTGTGATACTAAATAGTAAATGTATAGTCTGCTTGGCTGGAGGAAAAAAAAATAAGTAAAAAAAAAACCTGTAAAAAATTGGAGCTTAAATGGATCTGAAACCTGCAGGTGGATAAAAAGAACTGATAAAATCTTGAGTTTGAACRGTAAATGTGCATACATAAAGGAAAAAAGAACTCACATTTTTGAGATGTTGATCATATTGGAGAAAGCATCTTCTGATAAGAACAGTAGCTGGGTCTCAAAAAGCCATCTGGTGAACAAAAACAAACAGAAAYGAAAATTTTAACTTTTTGTCTCGTGAATTTTTAATTTTTTTTCCGTCATCAGCATGTTGTCACTCACTTTTGTAGAGTAATAGCCTCACTTTTAATGTTGTGCTACTTAAGCATGTAGCGAGAACAAGCAATCTGCTAGCTTAGCTTACAGCAAAATACAAAATGATCAGGAGTAGCCTATACTGTGGCAAAAAAACRCATTTAAACCAAAGTTTTTGTACAGACTACATAAATAAATATGCTAAATTCATTAAAAATAATCTTTAAATTAGTTTGAGTACATTTTGACAATAGCTTTTTGACACGCAACACCACACCTGGTGCATTGTGGGTACTGAGCCCCATGCTGGTGGGATAGTGCCAGCATTGCAAGCCTTGCTCCTGGCTGTCTATAGCTCTGACATTGTGGCTTTCATCTTAGTCAAACTTAAGGAGATTGTGCATTTTTATTTAAAAAAATCTCTCATTGGTGTGGTGTAAAATGCTGTTCGAGTAACAGTGCACCCTGCGCAGATGAATTGCGCGCGTCAGACTTGGTGGTTCACTCCAGCCTGTGGGCCGGTTCACGGACTGAACCACCGGCCCTCTGACCTGCGTCTGGGCCGGTGGTGCAGTCCGTGGGTCAGTGGTTCAGGGGCTGAAGTGAACCACCGCGCGCAGACGACGGGCGGGGGACCGATGGTTCAGCTCGTGGGCCGGTACCAGGTTCGGCTCGGTTGCGCCCGCGTCTTCTCAGTTATTCCCGTAACCTAGCAACACGTTCCTGAAGTTCCGTGCAGGTCTAGGGGAGCTCGCAACTTCTGGCTGATTCGCTCGAATTAAAAGAAAAATTCCTGTCTCCGCACCGTGATCCAGAACCTCACCAACATTTAATGGTGTGTTACGTGTGCTAGTATGCACAAGTGTTGTAAATTTCACGACAATCCGTCCACACGTTTTTGAGTAATGCTGTCCACAGACAGACCGACCGACAGACAGACAGACATACGTGACCGAAAACATTACCTCCTTGGCGGAGGTAATTACATGTGAAAACATTTTGCTGAACAGGTAAATGTGTCTTCCTAGCTGCAGAAAATTGCCTGAAAATGTATTTTGTCTTGCCTGTAATGTTGTTGGCAATTCTTTTTGAGATGGATTTAGGAATTATAATAAAGTATCAGAGAACATGGATCAAGATTGTTTCCACATGTGAGGTTGTCGCGTTGTATTGCTGGCTAAAAGGACACACACACGGCCAGTTTGTTCCACTGCAGAGAGACTTTATAGTGTTTTTAAAAACAGATATAAAAATGTAAGTGGATCAACCAATTCAACCATCTTCATGTTCCATAACACTCCTGCTACCAACAGTCAAAATGATTCACAAGGTCTCAGTCTGGATCATAGTTTTGACCCGAGGGCAGCAGGAGGGTTAAGATTGTTGGAGGAACAATAAATCTGACTTGTGCTCAGGTCTGGAGCACAAGCCTGAATCAGACTCAAATGGGCAGTCAGTTAAGACGAGCGCACAGCACACTGCTCACACTTTGACAAACTTAAACAAATAGTGGGACACAAAACAGAKCCTGACACCAAACACCTTGGTTAGAGCCCACAAACCAGCCTGCAGTTTACCCCAGGAATGCACGGAGGGGACCGATGTGCCCACCTCACAGGCTTTAAAAAACTGCTGCCTCAATTTGTCATTTAGAACAGAAGCAACGGAAAACAATCAGGTTAGGAAATATAATGACAGTAGGGTTTATAGTGGTGCAGCTGTTATTTTTCTGTGTTTGATGGATGATTTGTGGTGACTAATAAAGAGATTCAATTACCTAACTTGTGATAAATTATAAACTGAATTCTTTCAAAAAAAGTAATTTCATTTTTTAAAAACTGGTAGTTATATAATTTTTGGGGGACTGTGGTAGCTCGGTCGTCAATGTAATGGTCAATGTGATGGTTTTTGTAAAGCTGCAGTTAAAAGCACAAGTTGTGTGAGAAGAGGCATCTGGTATAAAAAAACACATGCTAAATCTTTAAAGTGTTCGTTCTCTGTGGCGACCCCTTAAGAAAAGAGCAACAGAATGTACAAGAATAGCTAATATTTTCAAAGGTCATATTTGCWGTGATATTCTGTCAAGTAGTTATCGAAAGCCTAATAGTTGTGACATTGTTTGGAGAAAAGGGCAAAAGGTATCGTCCAGGCCAGTGTTTCCCAAAGTTGGGATTGGGACCCAAAGTGGGGTCCCGAAACATCAAGGTGGGGTCCTGAAAAGATTTTCTGAATTAATTACATTTTTGCCCTAGTTGTTACAAAAGGAGTGAGGTTAGTATACTTAAAATGGATAAATTGTTACTATGCCCWTGTTTTGTTGACCTGATACAAATGTTTATCATMCAAAAATAGTTGGGGACACAGGTCACTACTACTGTTATGTTGTGGGTCAAATGCTGAAAAGTTTGGGAACCACTGCACTTTGGTTCCCAAAGTTGGGCTTGGGACCCAATTATGGG